GTGCGGGTGTGTCGCTGGTGACCCGAGGAAGCACATTCTCAAGTTTGAGGGAGATCAACTGAACAGAGGCCGCTTTAGGGGTCTTTTTGTGGTCCTCAGCCTGGCCCGTGGCTGCTTGTGGGTGGAGCTTCTGTTGCTCGGCAACTGAGTCAAAAATAAACATCCATTGCCACTGCACTCATCACATGAAAGTTAGCAACAGGCCTCTCCTACAAAAGCTGCAGCGACTTTGTGTGTTTCCTTTAAATCAGGCTGAAAACATTCCAGTTTTTTCACACAGAAACACGTGGGGAGCCACACTTCTGTGCTTTTCTGCTCGTCACATTTTCCCTGAATCTCTCCAGCAGAGTTGAAAATGCAAAGTTAGCCCACAAAGACACAATAGAAACATTAATGGGAAACACAGCAGGTTATAATAAACTTTTACGATCATTTAAAGGTTTCAATTGAGAAGAACTGGACTTCTTTTTTTGTTGCGTGTCCTTAAGACGTTTCAGCTCTCATCCAAAAGGTGTCCTTGGTTCTTACAGACTGACGGGAGGTCCCAGAGATATATTCAGATCAAATCAAAATCAAATCAAGTTTATTGTCATTTTGCTGTACATACACAGTAGTACAGGCAAGATGAGAGAGCATTTCTTCAGGATCCAAAAACTTAAAGCAATTTAAACAAAGAAGTGTTTGCACAGCTGGATCAGCAGTTCAGTATTCTTGTGGAATAAAGCTGTTGATCAGTCTGGAGGTTCTTCCTTTAATGCGCCGGAAACATTTGCCTGATGGTAGCAGTTCAAACAGTTTATGGAGAGGGTGTGAAGAGTCGCTGACAATGTTCAGTGTCCTGCTCCTGCAGCAGCTCTGGAAGAGTTCTTGGACAGAGGTGAGGGAAACTCCAATGACCCTCTCAGCTCCTCTAGCTATCTTCTGCAGGGCTTTTCTGTCCGACAGACTGCAGCTGGAGCACCATGTTGAGATGTAGTATGTCAGAACATTCTCCACCACACCTCTGGAAAAAGTCCTGAGGATGCTGGCACGGAAAGAGGCTTGTTTCTTGCTCAGGACGTGACCTTCGGAGGTCGATGATGACCAGTCCTCTGGGTGTTCTTACCTCTAAATTACACAGCTAATGTCATTTTAACAAAGCCATGATGCCAGTAATGACACAGCCGTCAAAAATTGTGACAAATGTGACAAAAATTCAGGGACTTTTTAGCATGGAAACAAATAAAAAATGGAAATAGTAAAATGTCTAATATGTAGAGTCACCAGTTTTTTCCCAGCATTCGCAGCACCTTTGAGCAAATACAAAAAAAAATATTCCAGCCTGTTTGTAAAATTAACAAACAAATGAAACCGTAGATTTTTCTTTATTTACGATTTATAGGACTCTAGTTTTGTCATGCTGCTGCACAGAAGACATTCCTGAGTTCTCTTCTCTTCTATCCATGGTAGTGCTGTTTCCATGGAGGTGCAGGACTTCATGTAAAAAATGAGCCTATTAAAAATGTGACAGGAGCAGAAACACCCAGAAACTGCTTCAGAGGGTTATAATAGATATTTCTATTCAAATTCTCGACTCTTGTCATATTGGTGCTGCCTAAAACCTCTTTGGAAGATGCAGGAAATCCATGCAGGAAAACCCCTATTAAAGGATTAACAGTGTTTTGTCTTCACAAAGCCAGAGACGGTATTTGGCTCCTCGCTCTGCTCAAGCTCCTCTTTTCCAACGGTGAGGACAATGACTCCTGCTTCTAACATTAGTTTTCATGCTGCTTTTATCAGCAATCTGTTGTGAAGTTGTATTTTACGCTGTTACTCTCCTGCCCTGCAGCCGTCCAGAAGCAGCTGAGTAAGACGAACGGTGAAGGTGGAATCAAGGAGGAGCTGGGCCTGAAGGCAGACAACTACCTGATCTTTACTGATAACGATTTTGATGAACTGTATGTTGTTGTTTTTGTTTTATTTCCCATAAGAATTCAGGCCAAATACAGTCTTTCTGTTTAGTTTGTAAGACCAGTTTGCATGTAGTGTTTGCTGCCTTTCAGACAAACGCTCCTCTCCGTTATTCTGCTTCACGTGTGGATGACCCTCGTAACTTTTTATTAAAATTGCAGCAGCAAGTATTTGACAATTTAGTTGATTAATCTTTGCAGCTCGTTGTACCACTTTAATAATCCTGAACTCAATGCCATCCTCTCAACAGACAGCCACAAAGAACACACGTTGAGTTGTATGAAGTGATTTGAGGAATATTTTAGAACCAATATTTGGTCCAAAAACATCACAGAAAACACCAAACACTCATTTTGCTTCCAGAATCCCAAAACACCTTCATCCTTCATTTGTTCTACACCTTTACATCTATTACAAACTGAAATGACCAATAAAAATAAAATTTTACTGTGATAAAGACAGAACAGGCCACATTAATGAGACTCACCAATAATGAATGCAATCTGTGTTTTGACAAAACAGAAATTCAGTTTGTTGCTTCCAGCTGTCTGTTGGAGTTTTTCCTCTGAGTTTATTAACCCTCCGATTACCTTCAGATTCACTGACATCTCTAATCCTTGGGTTCAATTTGACTCCAGCAATTTAAACCTCCACAAAATATCATAATTAAAATCGTTACCCAAGTTTATGTGTAAATAGCTCTTTAAATAAAACTGAAAAAATTATGTCAGTGACTTATTTAGAGATGTTAAACATTAAATGGGGTCAAATTGACTTGAGATTGAATGTCTGCAGGATTCAAGAGAGTTGCATTTACACACTGGAAACAACAGAAATATCTTCACAAATTTTCTATAATTAAAAATGATGGAGACAGGATGGTTCAGGTGTACTGTGGCGGTCTCTGTGCGTGAAGGTGGAAATGCATATCACAAGTACAGACTTTTAGGAATGTATTGTGAAGATTTTAGGCTTGAAAGAACAAAATGTTAGTAGAATAACCAGCTAAATGCAGTGGAGGCTGGGCTCTCTTATTGCATTCACATGTAAGATCCACTTTACTCATATTGAGAATGCTTCATTGGTTTCATTGTTTGATGTTAATGTGAATCTGTTTTCTCTAAAGGGTGGAGGAATATTTGACTGGAGACAGAGAGGAGTCTGCTAAAGAAGTACCTCCGCTGTTTGTTCTACAATTTCATTTAGCAGACGCTTTTATCCAAAGCGACATCTGAGAGCGGATACAACACCAGCAAGGATCTAGTCAGGAGAAAACAATCTGGATAAGTGTCGTAGAACAAGTTCAAGTGTGATAGATGCCATTGATGCCAATAGCAGGCTGTAGGGAGGTGATAGGATTATTGTTTGTTTTGTTTTCAGTCTGTCAAGTGCAAAGGTGTTCAGTGAAGAGTTGGGTCTTTTCTTAAAGACTGATGTTGCCTCTCCAGACCCCACCTGGGAGGAAAGATCACCAGGTACAGGTCACAACACATTGATAGTGAAGCTCGCTTCATGTATGATCTCTTATCAGTGAGGCCAGTGGACAAAACATGGTCTTCCCACCAGAAAAGTCTACTTTGATTCCGGCCAGTTTTGCCTAATTTAAGTAGGCTCTTTAAAGCTCTGAAACAAGTCTTCATTGACTCTATTCTGGAGGCGGTTATTGATGCTTTTCCACAGACTGTATGGTATTAAACTGTAAAATAATGCAGGCTTGTCTTTGGACCGACTGTTAGCATTAGCCGCCATTAGAGGGCGCTCATACCAAACGAGAGCACTTTTTATTTTTCCAGACAATGGGGTCAAACGACACAGTAACTGCTCCATAACACTCACCCCGGTAGCTTTCATCTCACCTGAAGGCTTCCTGATGTTTCGTTGTGAATAGAAGCACCTTAACAGCGGATAACAGCTCTTTCTCTCGCTAAATTTGACGTTAGCCCAGCCGTTCGTTGCCATTAGGCGGCTAGCTAGCTAGCTAGCTAGCTAACAAGCTACCTGTCACAGCTGCCATGGTTGACGTCAGCAGACAAACTTCTGACTGACCGGTGCTGCTGCTGTTGCTCGACTAGAAAACATCCACTTTATGAGGGAGTCACATCTCTGCTGCAGGTCTCAAGATGAGGAGGCTGACGAAGAAGAAGGCTCTGACTCTGGTGAAGGAGCTGGACGCTTTTCCTAAAGTTCCTGAGAGCTACGTGGAGTCCACAGCCAGCGGTGGGACAGGTACAGGAACGAACTGTTAACATCTGTAGGTCTTCACTGCTAGCTTCATAGTTCACTCATTTTTTTTCAAACTCTCTCTAGTGTCTCTGATAGCTTTCACTCTCATGGCTGTCCTTGCCTTCCTGGAATTCTTTGTGTACAGAAACACATGGATGAAGTACGAGTATGAGGTGGATAAAGATTTCAGCAGGTAAAAGCTGAAGAGGTTCATGTGACGACTGTGTTTTAACTCCCCTAACTCAGTCCTGACTGCATCTGTTCTCCATTCACAGTAAACTGAAGATAAATGTGGACATCACAGTTGCCATGAGATGTCAGTGTAAGTACACAGATATAGACTTTATATGAATTTCATCTGTGGAGAAAGGTGGTAACTGATTGTTCATGTGGCGTGAATGCAGATATAGGAGCAGATGTGTTGGATCTGGCAGAGACGATGGTCGCCTCCGATGGCTTAAAATATGAACCAGTAAGTGTCGGCTAATATCCTGTTTAAACCTTTGTCTTGCACTTCTGTATCCCTATTTGACAATTGTGTTTTTCTGTCCCACTTTAGGTCAACTTTGAGCTCTCACCACAGCAAAGATTGTGGCAGATGTAAGATTCAGCTGAACCTGTCGTACCTGTAATATCCAGACACGCCCAGGAACATATTTTCTGTCATCTGCACTCTGTGTTCCAGTAACCCTGTTATCATCTTTACACATTGAAACTAGTGATGCATGATATTAACATTTCTGGCAGATACCGATATTAAGATTTCTGATTTTGCTGATAACCGATATTACCGATGTCGATATTCAATTTTTGTTCATGAGTCTAAGTAAGCACTGTGAGAAAACTATTCAGAAGAAGCCAAATTAGACCACATAGTCTTCTTTATTACGTCACAAAAGTAAAACCTATTTAAACATATTTTAACATATTTAAATCCAGGACCATTTAAGTAAAAACATCTGTGCAATAGCAGCGATATCAAATGTAGAGACGAAGCTGCTAATGTTAGACAATCATCGGCTAAATTGGTTCATCGGACCGATACCAATATATTGGAAAATATCAGACCGATAACGATATATTGGAAAAATCACTAATATCGGCCGATACCGATGTGGTCGCCGATATATCGTGCATCCCTAATTGAAACATTTTTTTTCTGTTTTTAAACATTGCAAAAGCTGTTTTTTATCATTTGAATCGGATCTCATCCCCAATGAGTCTTCAAATCACAATCTGTCTGTCCAGGACTCTTCTGCACATCCAGGAGCGTCTGAGAGTGGAGCACTCTCTGCAGGATTTACTCTTCAAGGCTGCAATAAAAGGAGCTCCTCCCGCTCAGACTCAGAGGTACAAGCTCGTCGGTATAATCTGGTTTATGTGAGTGCACTGATGAACCAGGAAGTGTTTTTTTACAGTTTGTTTGTTAACTCTCTCTATAGCGAGGACAGCTCCACTTCCCTTAGTGCCTGCAGGATACACGGACATCTGTATGTCAACAAGGTGGCGGGAAATTTCCACATAACTGTTGGCAAGTATGTACCTACATGGAAAAAAACCACACTCACCAATTATATATTTATCGTTTAGACTTGATCCCCTTGTACAAAAATACAGATCAAATATTACCAAAAGGGGGCAACAGAGCTTTGCCTGGTTGTTGTGGGTAGATGATAGAGCGGTCCACCTCCTTTCTTGCTCAAATGTGAGCGCACACACCTTGAACACATCTTCACTATTTTGCTTTTCTTGATGATGTGCCCATTTCTGAGACATTGCTGCTTCCCTCCTGGGACCTGTCATGTCATCCGTCTTTATATGCAGTCTGTATTTTGAACCTTTAGTTCTTAATAGAAGAGAGACTTTTCAGAGGCTGACCGCGGACCTTTTCCGTCCCACACAGGTCCATCCCACACCCCAGAGGCCATGCCCACCTCGCTGCCCTAGTCAGCCATGATTGTAAGTTAAATGTTTTTTATGACACAACTCGAAATAGTTTGAAAACGTCAGTCACATTGTACATTAAAGTTGTGGCTGCAGTCACACATGGAGTAAAGCAGTTGATCATTATGATTTGCTGTCGTGTTACAGCTTTTAACTTTTCTCACCGGATTGACCACCTGTCCTTTGGAGAGGCCATCCCTGGACTTATCAGCCCTTTGGATGGCACGGAGAAAATCTCTGCTGACTGTACGTCTGTATTATCAATTCTTCTTTAAGTTTTTTTATCTTTATTTATGTTCTGATGTTTGTTTTTACTGATTTATATTTGATGCTTCTCTCCAGCAAACCACATGTTTCAGTATTTCATCACCATCGTGCCCACCAAGCTGAACACCTACAAAGTTTCTGCAGAAACACATCAGTACTCAGTCACCGAACAGGTAGCTTATTAATTGGTGCGTGTAAGCGTAGTGTATTGTGCATCAGTGTCGTGAATATGTTTGCATTCCTGTCATTGTTTTGCAGGAGCGAGTGATCAACCATGCTGCAGGCAGCCATGGAGTCTCAGGGATCTTTATGAAATACGACATCAGCTCGCTCATGGTCAAAGTCACGGAGACGCACATGCCCCTCTGGCAGTTTCTCATCAGACTCTGCGGCATCGTCGGAGGCATTTTCTCCACCACAGGTAGACGAGCCCTCGCTCTGGTGACATCTTTAAAGGAACCTTTTAGCTCATACTTCAGAGTGTCGACGGCTTTTAGAGCGTTCTGCAATGACATTTTCAGAATGCTTTGCTGACTTCAGGTCTGGCATCGGGTGCATTTAATTTAGTCCTGCTATCCTTGCACAGTAACGTGAACAGGGACTGCTTTAAAAAGTCCTTGTGGGTACGTTCACAGATGCTCCAACATCTGATATGTGCAGGTGTGCAACAGCTTTAAAATATACAGTGACCTTTAAAGCAGTGAATTACTGATCTACGGTGACAACATCACTTGTTTTTTATTTATCTGTAGATTACTTTTTGTCATTAAAATTTATGAAAACATTACTTTTTCTCTCATGGATGTCATGGCTTTTTACAAGCACCCGAGGACATCAGCATGGTCTACTTTACACCATTATCATACATTAATGATCTGAGGTCAGGAGGGTTGACTTTTTTATGGAACAGAATTAACTAAAAACCGTGATCTAAAATATGCACAATTAGTTCTTAGTGGCCTGAATGTTGCATAATAAGTGTTGTGTTCCTTTAAAAGATTTAGCCCAACTCCCTGTTCATTTATCATTTTAACCAGAACTTGAGACCTTTTACATTCATCTAAACTTGTCATTTAATCCGACAAATAGTCTACAGGGTTTTTTTTTTTTCATGATAATGAGAGCAGTTGTTGAATATGTTGTCATTTGTTGTCCCAACTTGATGGGGTTACTGGCAAGTGCGAAGTTTAAATTGCAGAGGAGTAATTCTGCTCGCGAGGGCATGTGCTCATTCTTAAATGAGTGTTTAGCAGCTTGGAAAAAGGCAAAAAAAAAGTCACGCTTTATGTATTATTCATGAATCTATGTGGGCTTTGAAACGCAGGCTGTCACTTTGGCTCAACATCCTCCACATTATAAAAGCAACAGCTACTTTCCCCTCGTTTAAACCCCAACATAAACATCCGTATTTAGGTTGGATCTTTCTCTCTCTTGCAGGCATGATCCACGGCATGGTCGGGTTCTTGGTCGACGTAGTTTGCTGTCGCCTCCAAATGGGAATCTACAAACCGCTTAATGTAAGTCGTAATCTCGCAGACAGAGTGTTCATTTTGCAATAAAATCAATTTTCAAACTTACAGGACGACTTCATCCGTCTCGTGCTGTTACTGAATGTTTTTTTTCTTTTCTCCTTCCTCAGATGACTCCTCTGGATGAGCAGGAAAACAGTGAAACTCCGCTTCCTACAGAAAACTACACTCAGTAATGAGGCAACAACAGCTGCTCGTGATCTTGGCCTCACCCACAGATGGCAAGGAGATGCTGGGGAAATGTTTACAAGTAGTTTCAGAAATATGTAACATTTTTTACCTTTTTTTTTATATGAGGTGGGAGGAAGATTCAGATCTGACTGTTCATCCACCTCCGAAGAACTGTAATCAATACCTCCTCTAGTTGCGTCACCGTCACTGAAAAACAGAAATGATTTCTTCATTATTTTAGATCCGGACGACAGCGGTACCTGCAGACCCATCACACACCTACACAGTTTCACCTATTTTGGCTAATTCGACCTCTTTGTAGCGGTGCACTGTGCGCTTAATTGGCACCTCCCTGACCGATTAGTTTCACAGTTCTTTGAAATGGTTCGATGACCTCCAGAAAATCTCTGCTGACTGGACTTCTAATCAGCGCAAATCAAGGGAAAGCCTGTGTGAGTGTGCAGCGACTTTAAAGTGAAATTGCGTGAAAAGACTGGAAAGGTGTGTCAATGATTGTTGAAATGAGGAGACTGATGTGTTGATTAAAATCCATTTTTTCCACTTGATTCACTGTCAGTATTTCATCCAGTCGCTGGTCTATAGCGTTACCATCCATCCATCATCTATACACTGCTTAATCCTCACTGGGGTCACGGGGGGCTGGAGCCTATCCCAGCCTACTTAGGGCGAAGGCAGGGGACACCCTGGACAGGTCACCAGTCTATCACAGGGCTACACTTAGAGACAGACAACCAAGCACACTCACATTCACACCTACAGACAATTTAGAATCACCAATTAACCTCAACATGTTTTTGGACCTTGTGGGAGGAAGCCGGAGAACCCGGAGAGAACCCACGGGGAAAACATGCAAACGCAGAAAGATTCCGGTGCCCCCACCGGGACGCTAACCAACAACCTTCTTGCTGCGAGGCAACAGTGCTACCAACTGCGCCACCCTGCAGCCCTATAGCGTTACCATCTCACTTATTTAATCCCAAAAATACACAATGTAGAATAACAACATGAAAGCACACATCTGAGAAGCTGAAACAGAATATTTACCTTTTTTCATTTTGGGTAAACAAACAGTTATCAGAATTCATCAGTTGTTTCAGCTCAAATCTCGTTTTAAGTAAAAATCTCTAGAAAATATTTTACACCATGTCAAGAGTTTATTTGACAGTATTTCAGAATATCTTTCAGTAAACAAGTTTTTTGTTTTTTAGCAAAATGTAATATATCAGTACTGTCGCATTTCATAAAAATAGTTGTTCACGTCTTTGAAACTACAGTATCAATGATACAGTAAACCATATTTGTAGGAATACAGCTGTACAAGGTGAATAGTACACAATTAACACTACACAGTTATACTTGATCTCAATGGGGGATTCATGAACGTGCCATCCTTCACAGGTTCCAATAAGCAGTTTTTTTTTTTTGTTCCTGTATACAAAATCAGTCACAGCAGGCAGAGGGACGGCCTGGATGGAGACAGAGGGCTGGGTGACAAATTCTTTCACCTTTTCTGAACTTTGAACATTTGCACATACAGTAAACACATTTCTACAGCCTAACGGCATGTTGTCATGCTCCTCGCTAACATGTTAACCAGTTTATCACATGAACCACAGTTCAGTCAGCTCAGAAACATCCAGAGCGCGTTTTTCCTGCGGCTCGGTCGGTCCTGGCGACGCTCGATGCACGAGGTCTTGCTAGTGTCCCAGTCTGCAGGTGCATTGCTTTGCTAAGAGCACATGACCAGCAGTTTACGAGTACAGCTCGGATGTGCCATCATGCTGCATTCAGTCAAATTGTCACAAAGCATTGTGATTTTTTAATTTTTTTGTTTCCCAACTCATCCGGTCCTCCAGTGCTCAAAAGCTCTAGTGATTAATTTTTAATTAAGAGCAAAGATCTTGCTGAGAGAAATGGATGATATCAAGATGGAAATGCAGGAGGATAGTGACTTCATCTTGGGTGTCTCAGCTTAATAGCAGCATGCCTCGACCTCTGCCAGAGACAAGATCCTGTGATTAAACGGATGTTTCAATGCATTTGTGTTTCACCCATCATCTAAAATCTGGACTTTAGATGCAGTGGGCATTGTGGTCCTTCCTGCAACAATGAAAACTTCGTGTTTTCTTTACAGAATAGACAAATAAAGCTGAGATACAGAAACCATGGTCCACTTTGATATAACCCTGTCTTGATAAACGTCCACAGCTCTACACTCCTAGGTGTCTCTAAGAAGAGGATGTTTTGCTACAGGCTACATTTTATCCCCTTTAAAACACTAGGGGACCCGGGCGATCATTGACATTGATAAGCTATACAGCTGAGAGTGCATCAGGATATATACTGCTTGGCGTTATGTCCGAAGGTAAAACAGGCTCCACGGCTCAGCAGTTTGCTGACACGTGTGCATGGTCACTAATATCTGTTTTGCATTCAGTGCCCAAAACGAATCACAACGGCAACAGCTCTGCATTAGTTCGAGTAAGGCACTCCGCCCCATCTCACAACCATCGGCCTCCTTTTCCCCGCACCGATGCCCCTCTCCCACAGTGATGTGGTACACGTAGCACAGTAAAAGGCATAGAAATGGGAAATAGAGACTGGACAAAATTTTTCCTGTTGAGCATTAAATGAATACAACACAGCTTATAATTCCGCACAATGACTGCATGGTTGACTTGTGATCAAGTTGTGTACATAAGGAGTTCTTACTAAGCCGTAAACTGTTTCCAGTCATTCAAAAGTTCAATTTCATGAATAAAAAGATCATTTTTGTCTCACATGAATGCCAACTGATCTGCTCCACGGAGGGTACTCTCTCTATATTCTACCTTTAAAAGACATGTGAGTCCCTGTCTAAAGACATGGTGGTTTATATCCATGCACACGACCACTGCCTCCCTCAGTGGTCTGGGTTTGGTGACTTGCACAGTCTTTGATATGTAGTTATAGACGAGGCCATGGAAATAGTGATCCTAAAATACTGTCCCGGGTTTTTTCTCTTTTTTTCTTTTTTGTTTTACAATGTATCTAACTACAACACTGCCTCAAAAAAACACCAACAGGTATGTTTTTGAGTTTACCAAATGTACATATTTTTCACATCTTTACATTTACAGTATATGATATATTGGTAGGCATGTGAGATCTAACATATGTTGGGTTAACCAGGCTGTCATTTGGGTCAGTGCCATGTCTTCCAGGAGTTTCAGTGTCACTGCCTCCATCTGACAGATTTGTAGTCTAATTCTTCCCACGGCACAGAGAAAATGGAGCAAAAGTAAATCTCTTGGATGTACATATGTCTCTCTCTTCCTTGTTCCAATGTGAGGCCATGTTGCACAAACCAATCTGAGCCAGATACGGTCGAGCAGTTAAAGGTACATGTCAAAAGCGCAGCTCCACTCAGAACCAAACATCGTTGCTCCATCTGTGTTAGCGGTCGCATGTGAGGGTCTCCATCGGGTTTATACTGTATGTTACAATAGCTGTGAAAGTTTCTCGGTTCTTTAAGGTGGTGGGTGTAATAATCATCTTGTAAGAACAAATGAAACGTAACATATGACTTCAGAAGTAGATGAAGAAGAAAACAGGACAGAAAGAGAGGGCAAGGGAGGTTTTCTCAGATGGTGAGCTGAGCCATACAGCGCGATCCGGTCCAAACCAGCAAGATCCATTCTACCTGCTCACTGTGGAGGTCCAGGACCTCAGGGTGCCAGGCAGTTTGTCAGACCCAGGGACGTTCCAGGGCCCCGGGGAGGCAGCTGCGCTCCTCGCTGGAGGATCTTCCATGGTTTTGGAGGGGCAGCAGAGCCCACTGTGGCCACTGGCCCTCTCGTCTTCTCTGGACAACAGAGCTCTAGACACCAGCCTCTCCTGGAGGCTGACGTGTCCATCTCCGCTGCCCAGAGAAGCTCCATTCAAATTCACGCTCACATATGGGTCCCAGGGCCAGACAGTGGCCATCGCCTGTGTGTGCAGGACCTTTCTCTCACAGCAGGGGGAGCAAGCCTCCCTCTGCCTCTCTCTTCTTTCAATAGACCTTCCCACAACAGCTTTGGGAGGCAAAGCCCGAGGCTGCCTGTCACCCGGCCCACAGTCCACCTCTCCAGACCCCTGAGGGGTTCCCTGCCCCCTGATGATGCATTTCTGCTCGGTGGACCTGCCACCCGTAGCCCCTCTAATGGAGCTGTGGTCTGTCGGCTGCGGAGCTTTGTCTGCCATGCACACTGTGGCCTCTAGAGGGAGCTGATGAGGGGAGTCTGGGGCTGAGGCTGGATGGGATGAGAGCAATGGATTCAGGTGAGGTTCCAGGGTCACTTCCGGCAGGGCAGAGTGGGCTGTAGAAAGGGAATCCCAGTGGCCGGCACAGTCTGTCAAGGAGGGAGAAAATACAGTCAAGTGGACTGACGCGAAAGAGGACGACAACCAGCATGCACATGCATACAGAGACAGAACGAGAGAGAAGAAGAAAAGAATTCAGAGAGAGAGAGAGAGAGAAACATCACATCCTCATATAAAATCAGGCAAACTCGCATGCAAATGTGTATGAGCAGCACAGAAACTGACTTGTGTGCCAGAACTCATTCAGTGCTTGAAAACAATTAACATATTTGTAGCCGTGCGACAGACTGATCCTGAGCAGCTCTGAGCACATACATTTCAAACAGTCTACTTCACAGCCCTCTTCAGGGCGATACAATTTCATCTGGAGGGTCACTTCAAACCATATTGCTCTCTTACTACAGCACACACAAGCACCTGAACACACGTACAAAGATACAGCTGCTGGTTTTTTTTTCTTCCATGCATAAACTCATGATCACACGAATGCATGCCTGGAGCACATCAAAAGACCACACAGATTAATCAGTATGGAGAGAGAGAGACATGCAGTTTTTCACAAACCGTGTCTTTAGAGTGGCCCATTAGGAAGAAATAGGGGGAGCTTAGTGTGTCACCTTTCATGCACATGGAGAGGTTGGGAGGTACCATTCCTGAGGGAAGGCAAGTAAAAGCCTATACCAATCATTAGACTTAAAGCAGAGGGGCTACAACACATGAAGGCTAAAGAGTAGGTTGTTACTGTATCGTATCTACTGTTTAAAGTTTTTTTTACACAAAAAGACGAGAACAGAAGACTGTGGAGCGAGGAGTAAAATGCAGAAAGATACTGATGGCATGTTAATATGTTCTTAAAACACGGAGCACTTGCAGGAGAAGTCGCTCTGGTTACGAAACAGTAATGTTGAATGGCAAACATTGAATCTCTAGTTTAGTAGAATTCAGTTCACAGACTTGAAGAGAGACAGAGAGAGTGGGACATTCTCAGATTTCAAGTTTGTGCCAGGAAAACCCACCATATTCTGGCACCTGTCCTGTGCCTCTCTTCAGCAGCAGCCTGACCCGCCGGCCTCCCGCCTTGATGAGTTCAATGGCGCGGGCGTGAGTCATGTCCCGAGTGCTGTCCCCGTTAATCTCTATGATCTGATCCCCTACCTGCAGGAGACACACACACGGGACAGGGTCGATTCCTGTCAACCTCTGTTTATCCACGGAAGGTTAACTTTTGCACACAACCAGTCCTCTGCGGGCGGAGAACCTCCACCGAGCGACTGGGGAATAAGCGCCATTAAGTGCCTTGTTCAAACACATTTGAACTGTTGAGGGTGAACAGAGCGTTACTCAGTCACCGAGTTCACAAGCATTTATACTTACTCGCTTAAGCAGAAGGAAAAAAAACTTCATGCTCTGTTAAATTTTACACCGAATTTAAATTCAGTGAGGACAATGTGTGATATTATGTGCGATGGGCATTAAGACGGCTAAACGTGCACATCTGAGGCTGGATTTATGGCACTTTTTTCTGCATTTCTTCCACAAAACAGCAACTATTTTTCAGCAACAGCAATTCCTTTGTCGTGGTTTTCCTCGTCTCACCCTCATCCTTCCATTTCGTATGGCGGGACCATCCTCTGCAAGGCGCAGCACAAATAGGTCCATCTTGTACTCTCTGCCCCCGCGGATGCTGAACCCGAAGCCCTTTGCGCTTTTCTCCAGCTCCACTGTGAAGTAATCATAATCCTGCAGAGCAAAAATGTGGACAATTTGCAACACGCCGACAGCAAATACAGTATGTGATTACTATGTCAAAAAAATAATTATGATCGCTTTAGCCGCAATGTGTTACACACCTGCATACAAATGAAGGATGTACGCTCAACATAAGCAGACAGTTCTTGGTCAAGCTCTACCTGTGGTCTGAAGTCTGCGGGGATCCCCAAAGGGAACTGAGCGGCTGCCGGATGCTGTCTAAAGTCTAGCAGACCGGGCGGGTGTCTGTAATCCAGCGTTGGAGGCTGGCGATAATCAGTCACCGGTGGGTGACGATAATCTACAGGAGGTTGTCGGTAATCAGTGAAAGGAGGATGGCGGAAGTCAGGTTTGACGTCCTGCCTTGCTTTTACCTCTGACCTGTGAGGAGGAAAGAAGTCAACAAGTCAGAGCTGAGGTTTGTGCCGTGATGACGGAGTCCTGCTGGACACAACCTCATGTCCACGTGTTTGCTCCGAACCTTCTGAACTCCAAGCATCTTGTGGATGTAGGAAAGAGTACAGCCATAACTAGAAGAAGAGAGAACTCAAAAATACCTTCTGCAAAGTATGACACAGAATGATGTAAGGCTATAAATCATAAAAAATAAAAATAAAAGATTTTTTCTTTCACAAAAATTGAAAAACTGAAATCGTTCTTCCAAGCACCCACAGGTGTTACTAATACTGGAAAAATGGTGACTCTACACACAGTAGATATTTTACTACTACTTTTTAATATGTTTCCATCCTCGCCTCCGACCTGATCCGTGTAAACACAGAAAACAGTTCAGCCAAAAAGTCCCTGAATTTTTGTCACATGATTGCTGGTTGCAGCTGAGTCACTGATGGCTTCTCGGTTTCTCTGAGACATCACAGAATCCTGTTTGTGTAAAGGTTTTATTTTTGTCTATTTTTTTTTTAATGACACACGGTTCCCATGTGAGGGACAAAGATTACTGTGTGGGAGCCGAGGAGGATGCTCACCACAAATAGGACGGAAATATCAGCTTCCGTTTTGAAACTTTTATCAAGTTCCCACTTGTAAAATGGGCATAAATCCACAGCTCTGGGAGTGCTACTCTCAGTGTCTTGATCTGAGACTCACATGCACTCGCACCCCTCCGTGCACACACTCACACTTTCACAGTTTTAACACAGAAGAGGGTCTGATCGCCGGGCTCCTGCATTATAGAAGAGATACCTTAAAGTAAATTATTCACCGACACTGTAGGAGCTAAGTGGTGTTATGCAATAAGGCAGAAGCCAGCCTGAGACTGAGAGTCTGGGACAAAAGTTGTCTGCAGTCACGGGTTTTCTTCTGAACATACGAGCGAGAAAAGGGAGGATGGCGCACTCTTCTCTGTATGCGCGGTTTGATGTCGGCCTTCTGCTAACATTCCTGCTCTTCCATCTCACTAATCACTCCTGCTGAGGCCAAACGAGGGCCCTCAGTGTGGCCTTACCTGCCGTCGTGGAGGTAGAGCTGTGGAGGCGGGCCAGAGGGCTGGGTGACTGGGCTCTGCTGGGTTCCAGCTGGTGCAGGCTGGGAGGCTGCTGGTGCTGGAGGGCCAGTCACTGTTTGGTTTGTCTGAGCTGGTGTCTGACCGGGTTGGACAGGTGCTTGACCTGGCTGGGCGGCCGTTTGGCCGGGTTGAGGAGCCATTTGGCCAGGCTGGGCGCCTCCTTGGCTTGGCTGGGCTACAGGGCTGGGCTGGGTCTGTGGGCTGTGTTTCTGGGTCATGGGGCTCTGCTTCTCTGAGCTGGGCCCAGAATGGGAGCCTGTCATGGACAACATTTCATCTGAGTGTTAATTCAACTCTGAGGAAAGTATTTTAGATGCAACTGCTAAATGTTCAGGATCTAAGATGGAGAATTTTCTAAAGAGAAATTCTTTTTTTCAATATCTGCTACATTTACGGTAACCTTTATGTTCCAGCATCCTCATAATGAAAACAGTTTGGGAACAACACTCCTCCACAACTCGTGTCCTTTCTGGATTGCTGTTTGTATAATTGCTTTGAATTTTTAGCTTCAAAATCTGAACATTTTTGTGTGCAACGCTCTCCTTGTCCAAGTAAAACACAACAAATTCATACAAGACACAGGAGTTTTACTGAAGTAAAGAGGCAACACTGAAGAGGGCACTCGCAGCATAACATCTGATATCATCCCACACACATAAACACTCACCCTCCTCTGGTATGATGTGCAGTGTGACTGTTAGTCCAGCATCTTTAATGAGCTTGACAATGTCTGCATGCGGCATGCTGATGATGGACTGTCCGTTTACGGCCAGGATCCGGTCGCCCACCTTCAGCTTCCCACATCTGTCCGCGGGGCTGCCCTCAATGATGCGTCCTATTTTATGGGGCACAGCTGGAAACAGGCAATAACAAGGTGGTTGTCCGCCAATTTTGAAGAAAGATGCACAGCAACGTTTACGGCTGTATTACAGTCTGAGCTTCGCCTGTCGTGACCGTGGAGCGGCACACCCACTTATAAAAATTACAGCTGCAAATATTGTTATGTCGTGTTACTGCAAAGCCGAATTGTTTGCATCATTCAAACCTGCCGAGAAATCTAACTTTTGAAAATTGTTATCACTGTTCTGGGACAATAACAAGAGTTTCAGCTCTTATTAACACTTGAATAAAGACAGAAAACTGAAAATTTCAACACCAGTATAAAACATTAACGGACCCACCAGCGTTGAAAATCCCCGAGAGACTCCTGAACATGCACAAATACATCCCGGTTACAACTTTCAGAAGGTTATGAGAATATTTTTTTCTGAGTGCAGAGGATGTTTCCATTTGAGCGGAGTATATTTATATGAAATCTGGAGGTGTAATCAGTCCAGGCTGACTGAAGAATCCCCTCAGTCTGTTGAAAGATATCAGCTCCCTCCAGCAAAATGTTACCATATGTTTAATAAAGCCACATTTAGGACTTTTAAAGAATCTTTTAATTCCACCTTGGCATGGAATTAGGACCAAAAAAGTTGAAATCATAAAAAGTAAATCAATTTCAGTTTGAGCCAAGCTAATGGAAGTTCTTTACTCAATACTTGTTGAGAGACATGACATCCAGATGCCATGAGTAAAGCAGATAATATGAATATTCTGCTCCTGAACATGTTTCCTAATAGACATGTGGTGCAAACACAAATATCACTGTGTAGTAGAAGATCTAACATTTAAAAAAAATAAATGAACACACTATAATAGCATCTTTTTTTCCCACATGTAGGACTTGAAACAGCTATAGTAAAATAATAAAAACCTTGGGATGACTGGTCATCAGGACGCACAATCACTATTTCTGTTTAGGAACAACCTCCAGGCCTCCAGACAGACCCGAGCCCTTTTGCAACTCACTGATGACGGTGGCGTTCTCCGGCCTGTTCAGGGAGCTGATGATGACGAAGCCGAAGCCCTCGTTCTCCTTGCGGTGAATGACCACGTCGCTGGTTTGCAGGGCGGATCCCTCCGGAGCCGAGGCGGCGGCGGCGGCGGGGACGGCCACCGCCGTGGGGCCCGAAGCCGAAGCCGCGTCGCTGCGTGGGGAGCTGTGCTGTGTCGACACTGAGCCGGGGCTGCGTCCGTTCACGGGACACGGTTCACCTGGAAGGAAAAGGAAGCAAGAGAGGGCATAGGATGAGTCAAAGCAGGAGTTCTGTTACTATAAAACATGACCAATTTACCCACAGTGGCCATTTATTTGGAAAATAGTGTGAAGGTGCTCAAGATGCAGCCACTGGAACAAGTCCAGTTCTGCACACAACGGTGCACTTCTCCAGCATTGGCAGGGATTCTCTGTCAAAGTCAAACAGTCTGTTTGTCATTTGACAGGTACGGCTCTTGTGTAACTGCATGCCCTTGCAGCACAAGTGCATCCAGACACAAACCACAGAGCCCGCTGCAGTTGTCGCGCTGAACAAAGGATAAATGTATGTAAGATCTACAACCACAGAAAAGATGTGTGGGTGAGAAGAACACAGTGATCCTGCTCACAGATTGTTAGCATGTGTGTCCTGTCCAAGTTGTGTTTTTTAATTTGATGCCAGTGAAATGTGCAGCCTGTTCTCCAGCCTCAGTAAAGTGTGAAACAACAACAACAACAACAACTACAACAACAACAACAACAACAACAACAACAAAACAAAGACGAACAACAAAAAGAAAACACGTCCTCACCAGGCATTTGCACTCTCCTTCTCACAGTCAAGCTGACTTGACCGTTGCGAGCAGCTGCGTGCATCAAGTCTATTACGTATTTGTGCGGTTTCCCAGCAACCACATTTTTATCCACAGAAATGAGCTCATCCCCGGGTCGAAGCCGCCCATCGCGCTCAGCGGGAGTGTTCTCTATTATAGCGCCAATAACAATCTGTTCAAAGACAATCAATATTAGCAGCATAGATGAAGGTGAAGAGGATGAGACAGAGACAAGTGGAATCACACAATAATTGCTTTATCTAGCTTGTAAGCTACTTTTGTGTCACGGTAACACATTTTTTTTTTCCACCTTCCTTATGTTCTGCTGCCACATTCTGTCTGAATCACAGTTTGCATGCTGGACAAGTTAGCAAGGCGTTACTTCAGTATGGGAGGCACCGAGCGGTAAGAGTGTCAGGACGGTGTGAGGAGGCCGAGGTTTGCCTGTGTGTCGGTCAGATGAGTGTGTGGAGAGTGTGAGATGAAGTTAGATGCAGGTCAGATGGTGCTGGTGCGTATGAGGTTTTAATATGTGTGTGGTCCAGCCCGTCCCATACGAGCCTTGTCACGGGCGTCCGGACTCACAGCCTGCACGGCCTCGTCTCCCCCCAGGATGCGGAAGCCGAAGCCAGTCTTCTCCCTCAGCAGGTGCACCTCCACCTCTTCGTACTCTGGACCTGAACCACAGAAGCAGACGATAAAGACTCTTAAACAGCACAACATTGTGTTGTGTGTCTAACTGCATTGCCAAAGACCACCCAGCACACCAGATATCATACAGGACCATCAGAGCACGAACTACAAGCTTGGCAAATAGCTTCTACCCCAGACCAATCATCACACTGAACTCTGCAATGAACAACTCTGTGCAACAATCATCAATGTGCAATAACCAGTGATGTGCAATATTCAAATATGTGCAATAACGTCTATATCCACTGCACTCTGCACTTACATATGGGGATGTGTTTGTATTTTTATTGTATTTTTACTGTGTTT